GATTGTTAAATACACAATTCTGTCTAATGGAGCTTTTATCATTTGTTGACAATAAGTGCTATGTGAATCAATAAAATTTTCGTTAAATGTTTGCGAAAAAAAAACACTATTCTTTGGAAGAATTGAACCATATAAGATTATCTTTTAAAGTATTTTTGAGTGGAGTGCGAAATGATTATTCGATTTCTCCATTGCTTGATGAAGTCAGATTGAAGCGGTCTCTTGTGGAGATAAAAAGCTATGTGAAAGTATAGCAGCTCACTTGCATGCACATCGCTCTAATGAGTTGCTGTTGAAGAGATCTGCTTGCTTGCGATAGAACCACAGATGATAATTTCAATTGAATTTTATAGATACAAAATAACGCGGTTGCATAGCAAGCGAACGTAACCATCAGAAATGTCACTGGTAGTGACAACGCCAGAAACACTTCCTGAATTGCTCAAGAAGTATCAGTGAAAGCATCAGCACAAACGTTGTTCAATACGAACATCTTAGGCTTAGGCTTAATTCGGCTCTTTTTTAGTTATAAAGCTCTTTGATAATCGACCATGATGGATCAAATTTGGCTGATTGTAGCTGATTTGTAACTGAAGATTAATATGCAACAGAAGAGTTCGTCGAATATTTCTCAATTTCTTCACTGAAGTCTAATCATTTTAAATATGATAGGTCAGTATGACAGAAATATGACAAAAAAATATGACAGTCCATCCAGCCTTACGTCTTTTTGCAATTGGACATGGAAACCGAGTGATGTTCGATGCGATTTAGCGAAATCGACAAGCGCAACACTTCTATATGTAACAAATACGAGCATTGAGCCTATGAAAATCAAGCAACACCAGACACATATCATTCTGGATCGTTTAGTTGCTGCTGGCTGCCTGTAAGATGTGGAAAAAATGATCTCTTGATCAAAATGCCGGTGAATTGAATGAACGTTGAGAAGAATCGATGGGACAACTATAATTTCATTGAATGGAATGAATACAGCCCAGCTGAACTGCAGCATAATTGACTTATGATTAAGCAGCATAATTGACTTATATGAGTTTGTAATGAGTATGTACTGAGGATTGTTCTGCGATTACACAAATACTTCATTCGTATAAAACTATCTAGGGAAAATGCAATAAAGATTTTTGCTATCAATGAAATATGAAAAATCGAATCCAACGGAATACCCGCAAATGCTGAAATATCTATAGACGAACGTCACTGGCATCACAAATATCCACATGTAAACCAATGTTGCTTCGAAAGCATATGAAGCATAAACTATCGCATTCGGTAACTTCACTATAATTCCAGTCAGCATTATGTCCAACGACTCGCCAACGTATTGCTGAAATTTCATAGCTGATTTTGGAATCAAGAAGATTCGCAATAAAATGCTAAGAAGCTAGGATAACTTAAGCCACTGCTTAATCACGAAATGTGCTTGATCGGATTCCTTGTAGGAAAACTGATTGCCACTATTTCATTGCACTGCTAGTATGCTTGAAAATTTATCGCCTGAGATGCATTGAGAATATTTCATTTTTTCACGATTAATGTTTTAGTCACGAGAATCATTAACGGGAAAATCACCAGTAAAATGGGAGCAAAAATTTTGCTTCGTTCATGCTCGTCTTTACGAGCAGTGAGTGGGCAGATGGAAGATAGGCAAGCATTAGCGTGAGCAGCTCAAAAATTGCTCTTAGGCCCCAAGCAGTTAGTGGGCAGCACCTTTTTCCGCGAGCTCATCACAAGTTGTAATTGCTGTGGATCTTGCATATTCTCTAGGTTAGCCGATGACACTTATCTCATAAACAATCGATTATATGGTATTTTATAACAGTGAATTTATAACATTCCAGCACATTCAACTTCATGCCATTAATGGAACGTGTACGGAAAGCTCTAAAAAACACTAATCGACATGCTCAGAAACCCAAAAATTTGCTTGTTTCCTCGAACATCAACGATCAAAAATAGACGAAACATTTTCAGAACTTCGAAATGCGATTGTAGCCAAATTCCTGGGCAAATTGATGATCCTGAGGATGACTTACTTTTTTGAGAAGAACTGAATTCACACTGCAAGCAATTTCAACGATAGACTGCAGGATGAGAAGTCGATTGAACTCACGAATAATATTCACTTTACAGTTGAGTGCGAATACAATGATGAGTCCATTCAGTATTACGCCGAACACCGTTGTCACGTATGTGTTCACATCCGCAAATATCATTAGATTGCTCATTCAGATGGATGCTTGGTGAGAACAACGCAGCTTACGGGATCTATCTAAAATGCAACTTGTGAATATAAAGGAATCGAACATAAATTTCTTGAAAATTCCACGTTACAGGTGCAAGAATCACTGCAAAAATTGATCGAGTTTAAAAAATTTATTAGCTCGAGTCAAGAATTTACTTTTATAAATTGTCAGCGAAACGAACGGGCAACATTTCAACACAATTCAAGTAAATTACAATTTCAAATGGGCCACGAGCTCCTTTCAAACAAATCCTAAATTGTGCTTTCCACTGCCATCACCTCAGTGAAAGGTGCTTATCATGAGCATAGGCTTAACATCTCACTTCGTATTGTGGAGCTTTTGAGGAAGACAAAAAAATTGATCGTGAAGTGAACATCGAACGGATACCGGAAGTTTCTGTGTTGAAAAAGGATTTGGCCAACAACTAAGAGCTGGAATATTCAGCAGTTGGGAGTTGCATGAACTGATCCACTGATATTTGCTAACAACGGAATTTATTTGTGTTGTCACAGTGCAATCGCGTTCATGAAACGCTGTTGACAGTTACGTGAGACAGATCCAAAATATAAATGAAGTCAAGCACTCGTTTCGTTTTGACGAGGTGTTTCGAATATTGCGATTGCGTCACACAGATGTTCCTCATGGACTATCGCCTTTTGTTCATTAGTAATGAATACAATCCTTGATAATTCCGATATCATCATTATTAAACATGTGCTCGTTCAGTTCATTTACACGTGTTAGTTAATTACGGATGCAATGATTCATGGAACAGTGGTCAAATTGACTGTTATGATAGCGTTAATGAAAATAATCATAGCAACAATAAGAATACTTCTTATAATGAATGAAAGCAGCAATAATAGGAGTTATGAATGGCTTGGTATCGTAGTTTGCGTCATGTGAGAATCACACTTACTTAAGCTGGACATCGTGCTAATGAGGATAAGAGTATAATTAGTGGAATAAATGAAAACAGAAAATAATGTGGATGGGGTGTGTTCTTTATGCGGATTGAAAGCACGTTTTTGAATGCTTTGATATGCACTCATCAAAACCTTACTGATATAAATCATCGGATGCCGTTCAACTCAATACTGTTGAAAGTTTGGATCAAATTCGGCATACGTAATCACTAATCAAATGATATCATGCATGGGATTGATCGGTGAAGCGAATAAATTCACGCTGACCTGAAGATACGTAAACAGAATCAACGTTCCGAATGTGTATGAGAATTAGGTAGATCCTGAATGTGTAATAGGGTAGGTTTCAGATAAATGCTCCAGGAATATTTTAGCATTTACGAAATAAAAAAGACGTGTTGTGTTAATATATGGCTATTGAACACATTCACTTAGCGAATCTGCATATTCACCGCAATTATCAGTTCAAATCTGCAAGGCATTGCTGAACTGTGTCCTTTTATTTCTTTCAATATTTTCAGGTATCTGATTTTCTCATTAGCTGCACGCAAGTGTTTGTTTGGTTTGCGATTGCCCATATGATCACTGAGAATTCGTTCGTATTTGCCTGCATGAAGGCAATATCAGCAATGTGATCAGACGATAACTGCACTCGAAAGCACTAATTTCAAAGAAAAAATTGGTAGGAAATGACCGAACAAACTCAAAAGGGTAAAAGCTTTGCGGATTTTTAATGCAGAAAGAAGCGTTGATTCATTGGTGTTCGCATTCTTCGTGTGTGTGTGTTTGAAAAGGTCATCACAAATCCTGTTGCAATTCCATCCAAATGATCTATTTCATCGTTGATAATTTGTTGATATGCGCATTGTGGTCTGGATTTGATGTTTTTATCATTTCAACGGAACAGGTTCGAACAATCAAAAAACATCGCCGTCGCATGCTCAATATGCAAATGTTCATATCGAGCGGATACGCATTCTCGTGCTCTCCAACTCTCTCGTCATATCGTGAATGAAGATTCTGGTTTCTTACCGCATTCAGTATTCGCGAACGATGAAAGAAAAAATCTTCTTGGACTTCTTGGTCATCTGGTTTCTTGTTATGAACTGTTTTGCTGAGGCATTACCCAAAAAGCCTTATTACTGGAGTGAGTTCTTCTGCATTTACGTTCTTCATTTGTGAATATTTAGCGCTATTGAGAACTTTTTCAGTGCAATGAGATTCACTGATGGAAAGCAATTCAGTTTGTACTGTTTGGCGACAAATTTCTCTAACTTTTCAAATGTCATCATACAAATTCTCCCACCGCGAGAGCTATTCTATTCCCAATGATGAAAAAATACATCATCATGTCCAAAGACGACAATTTCGTCCGCAGAGAGTTTGAATTTTTCCGCAGAATTTATCGACAAATCCATTTTTGAATGGCGAATGATATGCCGATTGAGATGACCATGCAAAAATTTTGACAGTATCACACATCAAAAGTAGCATGTATCAAATTCGATTACGTAGATCTTGGGGAGACTCGAAATTCTTAGATTGAAGGTTCTGTTGCATGCAGCGCAAAAATTGTTGACGAAATTTTTTTGATAAAATTTTATTTTTCTACGCTCATTAAATGCGATTATATGTTAATCCTTCACTTTCATTCCTCTTTTCTCAGAATGGTTGAATTTTCGAAAAGAAAGTTAAATTGCAGCCACGAGACAGTTAATGTGTAATTCAATAAGCGGACATAACTACTCCAGATGTGCGCTTCACCTACCGAACACTAATATTGAACAAAATCCGGGTTGTTACGAAGATGTCGATAAGGTAAATTTGCATAATCCCTCGTCAAATGAGGCCCAGATCGTGAAAAAATAGCATTTTCTTCATCATTCAATGATCGTCACTTTGTTTCGTCACAATAAAAATCTATATTGAGTGAGATATCTGAATGAATAAACCGGAATCAATGCACACCACCATGCTGCGACGATCAAAATACGTATCAATATTCATAAAGGATGGAACGCAAAATATTGAACCAACTTGAACGCGTTTAATTAATCGCAGTTCAAAAGTCATCCTCGCAATAAAAGGATTTGTCAGAGCGGGTTAAGTATTTGGTATTTTTTTTTGGTACTCGGGTAGTTGTATTCAAGTCGTATTTTTATCGAACCTTAAGATTCATTTAATTGAGCGCTATCTGAAAGGACAGTACGATCCGAACACGAGAAGTTGAACTGCAAAAACTCAATATTTTATTGGTTTGGTTGCAAAATTAGGCCGTACTTTTAAAATCGTTCACAACTGATATTCGCAGACTCGATTAGCTTTGACGTGATTAACATTCAATTCCTGGAATGATAGTGCACTTCTGAGAACAAATCTATTCCAATTCGATGATTTTCTATTTTGTTTCATAATTATCACTACTCTTCAATACCACTATCTCGATGACAACCTGCATCAGCATTCAGCCAGAAATACGCGCACTCTTGCAGCAGTAATTTTAATCTTGAATGTGCTACAAAATTGCGCATTCTTACGATAAAAGAAGCGCGTCATTTGCTGATGCACGCGATGCTTTCGTCATTTTATCATGGAACAAACGGTTTAATTGTTTCCAATGATAAATTTATGTCCAAATTTCTCGCGCACTGACCAGTCGTTATCGAATCTATGCTGGACTGTGTGCGATTGATGGAACTGAAAACTTCATTGCGAAATAAACCAAAATTGAACCTCAAATTGTTTTCAAACAGATATCGCTGTTGGCATTTTTTGATCGTTGTAACTGAAGCTACCAAAATTCGTTTGGCGTTGGAAAAATTGCAAAAAAAAAACTTGACCGGAAAACATTTCAGCGCAATCAAACACGAATGTATTGTCGCATAATGTGTGAAGAATCCGACGACACAACCGTATTAGCGAAAGTGCCGACGTGGAATCACGAATGTAATGTCTTCTACACGTATCAGCTGCAAAGACTTCGAGACGATTGGTTTGTGCTGCACTCATTTTCTTCTTTGGTTCTTTTCAATTTGCTCACGGTTTTTCCCGCAATTGTTTGTTCAACACGTTTGAAATTTCGATTTTAAGCTAATTGTAAGATTTAGAAATTCTCACACACACTCTTTCATCAGCCTTCACATGCGAAATTTTTTTAGTGGTTCATTAATATTTACTGATTGAATCACTTTATGATATGCATTACCAAGCAAGATCTTTATGACGCTTCATTGTGAAATTTGCAGAGGACGCGATGGTGATTAAGTGAATGTTCCATTTTTTGAATGTTCAACACAAACTTCATGTGAATTCTTTGAATGCCTCATGATCGCAAACCAATATTTCACACGAAGTTCACATGTCTAAATTCATTGATTTCAGGTATTTATGGAGGTCTGGTGATTGTCTGAACACGACGATCACGTTCGATGTGCGTTGTGGTTTCGCGAGGGATGCCCATGTTTTCTATCGTGACAATTCCAAACTGTTCGAATACGAAGACGCACCCGATACACATCCTAATATCAAACGATTCAGACCACGATGATTGTGTTTTTCATCATAATGCATGTGATCGTTACATTTGTTTATTGATGATTTGTACCAGTAATTTATTGAGCATTCCATTTTTGAATGTTCGTAATCACTGAAATACGCATTCCCAATGAATAATCCATTAAATGTGTCATAATAAAGCATTCATTTGACTGTAATTAATTTCATAATCTGCAACCTTTTCATCACGTTGCAATTATCATTCATTGAAAAGGAAAGTTCTTGGCGAAAAACTGAGCCTGACAATAGTGAATGGGATCACAATTTTTCGAATGTTATTAAAATTTCCAAAAGACCAAAACACCAAAAAATTCAATTCCGAGTTATCCATTATGTTACGAAAAATGTCAGAGAGGCCGATGAATTATTGATGGATCTTCACGCAAATTAATGATTTCAAGCGAAATTTCAAAAAAAAAACTCCAAAAAATCGCCAATACACAAAAAAACGCACATATGCTTGTCAAAAAATACATACTTATGCAAATGTCAATTAAAATACACATACATGTTTTGCGGGAGATATTCAGTGTTCAACAATGTTCAAATAGAAGATATTCAGTGTTCAACGATCCGGAATATAGATGAATATCTTTGAGACGGATATATTCGACGGATGTGTGAAATGATTATCATCTTGTTTTGATGTCGTCTTTTTTCGTCGATTATAAAACACAAAAGACGCGTCATGCTGTTGGCACTGAACGTATAAATGAGTGTGCGCTTTCGATAATCCTTTTACAATTGTCAACACCTTTCCATCGTACGACTTCCACTTTTATTTCCGATTTTTTTTTCGAATTTCAGTCTTTCAACTTTTGCATATTTTCCAACTATCTAGACATTTATGTGATTACCCCATTTATCTGCATTTTTATGAAAGCAAAATTCTTTTACGCTATCAAATTATCGAATTACGCTTTCAAATTATCACAAAAATGTCGCACAAAAACGTAACAAATTGATACAAAAATGAATATCTCTTCATTTTTGATCGCATAAATTCTTCGAGTTAAATTGTATGTTTCAGTAACCGATCAAAAAAGCATCAAGGGAAGGAGTTCAATTTCTCGCAATATTGTTTCTGTAAGACTTATCCAACAAAAATGTTGCTGTTACTCTCAACGCTTTGCCTCACGATGACATTCGGAGATGCGCAGCTCGAGAATGAAGGTCAAGCGTTGGAAAACTTCAAATGGGCCCGGTGGGGTAAGTTGAATGCCCTACCTATCGTGAATTTGTGATTCGTTTCAGTAATTCATCGCATCTATTCAGTCGCATCGTTTTGTCGCTTCATAATTTACAGTCAGTCTCATATCATTGTCAATTCCTGCATGCAGAACTCAATTTCATAATTCATTTGTTCGTGTATTATTTATTGTTCATGCATTATTCACTAAATCAATAGGTTATACAACATGTTCACAGTAGTCAAAATAGATGAAGTGAACTGCATCAGATATCACGTAATTCTCATCAGGAGTTCACTGCAAAATTCATGCTTCTCCGTTGGTAGTATTCATTCCAATGCCTGCAAATGCCTCTGTATTTTCGTGATCTGCACCTGTATCAATTGCTGAAAATAATTACCCACTGATGTGCTTTCATCCCTTAGTTATTATCAGCATCATCATCCAACAAATAGCATCTTACTAAAAATGCAAACATTAGCGAGATCAGTTGCATACTAGAGAAGTTTCAGCATTTTGAGTATTTCCCACAGGAATTCCCAATTTGTGAGCATTCGAAATAAATGAATGGTAATATGTCCGAGCTCATGGCTACTAGAATAGTGACGACGAGACTCAGCAAGAGGACTGGCTTTATTAACCGAAGAATATTAATGGCTGTAGAGAACGGATGATACAAATGAACCGAGAAACAATGATATTTAGGCATTTTACAAACGAGAAAAATTCGATCATATGAGTAATGAGTTTCATTATGTGAACAAATGAATCGAATGTTTTCAGAGGAACGTACAATAGACTGCACATCGCATGATCTAAAAGATCAATGCATTCTGGTGGCACCCAACGCTAAAACCCGCCGAGACCCGCTAAAATACAAATGTCGCCGTGAAGCAATGCCTCAGAGTCAATGGAATATGCTAGCGAGGAATTCGACCACACGTCTCGCATGTCCAATTGGTTGTGAACCCGATGCTGATTTGTCTGTAAGTTTTTGTTCATTTTTCGACGATCGGTCTGCCTTCAGAAATTAATAAACGAATTCCCAATTTAGGTTCTCGTTAAAACACCACGCAACAACCCTCTATGCCAGAAATACTACACATATGGCAAATACCGTGATTTGAAGGAGGGAGAGTGGTACTTGTGGGTAACGGAACCGTGCCGAACTAACATTACGACGTGGTGTCGGTTTCGTGACATTCCACTGTTTGTGCCCAAGCATAAATCTCTATGAAACGAGTGATGCGATGAAACAAAACAAATAAACGCGTACATTTGTCTTGTCCAGCAATATTAAAATTAATAAAAATATTTTGAAATTCTATGCAAAATTTTTTGAAATTATGCAAATGACCAGCAGAGAATTTGCTGCTTCTGAACTGATCACGTTTATTCCATAATCAAAATACGTCCATGTCAGCAAACATGGCGAAATTTTAAAATTTCCCCGAGCATGCTACGAAAAAGAAGATATTTTCAAGAAAATATGCTCTTAGGTACTTATTCTATCGTGGGACAAAATACTTGTTTTGTAAAAAGAAGTATTTAGGTACTTATTTTATAAAGAGAAATCGCTTGTAACCAGTCTCTTCGAATTAGTCCATTCAGCAGTGCAATAATGTATATATCATTTTATCGGTGTTGTTCATTTATTAGGTGGAAGTTTCGTTAATCAGTCGATCGTCTTATCTGTACTTGTGGCTTTGACTGCGTTATCAGTGAATTATTTGTTCGCTTTTCTGCGTTCCTTTTCCATTTCTGCGAATCGTTTTGATTGCTCTTCTTTATTTACTGAATATGCAATAAAGCAGTTTGTCAAAGAAAGGCGATTAACAATGTTGTCTTCGTTATTAAAAGCACTCGAGCGCTTACGTGCGTAAACGTACCAAGTCGAGCTGGATCGATGAAGTGCTGCTACTGCACTCAAAATATGCATAGTTTAGAATTGAAATATTGAGCACACTGAACTTGAAATATGTAAAGTAAAAGCGAAAATATTTCGTTAGAATGAAAGACGACGACGCATTGGCAATGCAATGAGCGTTGCTGCTAATGATCATGATCGATTGGAGTGTTGGAAAAGTGCTTTGAGTAGTGCACAGTGGATGATGCTCTTTGCATGTGAACAGCGATAGAAAGTGATACTTTGAAATCATGACGATACTAATGATTTATGTATGTATCGGTTTATGCCGTTCGCTGAAGTCGTGTTTTGTACGGATTTTATTTGCGTAAAATTTCGTGCCATATTGCAAACCGCTTCTCATCATCTATCCCTCCTTTCATAGTGTAATTCAAATGATTATTATCATTCAATGCTCACTGGCATTCGAATGCAGTCGATTTTTGATTTTTCCGCACCAGAATTTCAGTTCTCTCATAGAAATACTTTCAGTGGAACAGTACTTTGATACTTTTGAACTTTGATACTTTCAGTTCTTTCAATACTTTCATTTTTGATTACTTTCATAACAGTTGGAATCGTGCGAATATCAGCGATTGATTGGAATGCTCATAATGCTTCGGTTGGATGAGAATAATTTCAGTTCAACAAGACTTAGAGGGCAACAAAAATGGTTTACAAAGCAGTGTTGTTCGACTCAACTGGAGTGATAATGAGTTACGATTCATCGCCGTATCTGGCCGAATTCATGAGTAAAGGTAGGCAGCAAAAACGGATCATTTCCTTTCACCAACGATTCACAACGTGAGTGAATGATCTTTTCGAAGTGAAATTTTGAAGGAATTCTTATCTTCTGGCACATTCTTTAAAGTCTATTCGAAATTGCTTTTGGATATTGAACTCGCTGAGATACTCCTATAAAATTCCAATATAATCGTGCTTGTTGTGCGTATTTGCACTTATAATTCCGGTTGTTATGCGAATTCGGGTTTTCACGTGTGAAAATTATCGATAAAATCTGTTGTACATCTCTGAATTTGCAATATCGAACTTTCAAACAATATCCAGAGTTCGATAGCGATTTTCATCGAATCTTCATTTGTAGCTTTGTTTCAAAATTCGATTATTAGTCGTTTAATTACGAGCTGTCTTTCTAGCGAAGAAAGTGGAATCAATTTGGAAAATATGGGCAGACATGGAACTAGGCAAGTTGAACGCAAAGGAAGTCAATGATGTATTCCAACCGATGCTTGATGCAAATGTCCGTTTCACAATAAATCATTCAACGATTGTTTTGCATTCATCGACATGATCACATTTTGTTCACCTCAATTAATCTTATACACTACCAAGTTTCACTTTTTATTCAAACTCTAGTTTTATTTCGCCTTGAATACTCAATTTTCAACCTGTTAAGATTCTGTTCATGGCCAAATAACCTCTCAACTTTCAGCCGAAATTGAAAGAACAAGTGCTGAAGAGTATGACAAATGACACCATTCTGTCCATTTTCGACAATCTGAGAGAGGTACGCTTCGACAGTTCCTTCATTCAGAACAATGCACCATTTAATACTGCTCACTTTCATTTAAGCAGAACTTAGCAGTCTTTTCCTGTGTGATTAGTTTAATGCAATTTCACCGTAAGAACTGATAGTGGATATTACTACAATTTGGGAAATTCAGTTAGTGATGTGAAAGACTGATTGATCCGAGGAGAAATCGTTTAGTTTCACAGAACAGGTGAGTACTTTTGAGCAGAGGATTTACTCAGTTCGTTAAATTACTTAAAAGAATCACTGAATTCAAAACTCAATATAACCTCAGTAATCAACAACTGGAAGCATATTCGGAAATACTACTCATTTTTAGTACCATTTAACAATATTGTTTCTTAGAACAATTGAATGACGATATTCTCAACAAAACAATATTTTTCAGAATAACCCTTCTCGTGACTGAACCCATTAATAATCATTCTGTATAACTTGCAAGCTATCGATGACGCTGTCGTTCAGGATGAATATTTCGTCCCCATATTACCTAAACTGCGTTCGGCTGGCATTAAATCGTTGTTGTTGACGAATCAAATGTGGCGTGATGACGATCGAACAGAGGTTTTCATCCCGGCTACAAGTATCGCCAAATTCGATGCGAACGTTATTTCATGTCGAGACGGTGTTCGCAAACCGGATGCCGATATATTTCTCGTACGTTTCACGCATCTGCACAACAATTCGCTGTTAGTGCTCTTTTAAAGCACAATCATAAGTCATTCATCTAATTCTTCATATGTTACACTCCCAAAGACGAACGAGTGAAATATGTACCAGAGTAGGTGAATGAAATTTCGTGACGTTTTGTGCTCAAAAAATAATGTTTGTCTCGCTTCATTGTGAAAACAATTCAGCAACTAACGACCATAATAATGTTGTGCTGCTGCTGTGGATTCTGTAACGTTATGATTCACTATTTGCATCAGTGATATCCACTGCTATAATTATTGGCAGCTGTGATTACGATCTCCATAATGGCGCACGGAATTCAATTCACTGATTCATATTTATTCGCAAGATTTGTCTTTTTTTCCAGTGAACAAATCAGATTGTTTCAGTTAGCAGCCAAGAAGTTGAGCGTTGAACCGAAGGAATGCATTTTTATCGATGATTTTCCGGAAAACTGCGAAGGTGCACGGAAGGTCGGTATGGCTGCAATACAGGTACAGTGATTTGTAAACCTATCATTTTGTTCATTCGGAACATTCGAACGGGCAGTCTGCATCGAAAACACAAGCAGCAGGCAAGGTTCAACTGAATGCTGAACGATGCATATTTTTATGAGTACCTCAGATAGAAATTGCCAATGATCATGCGTTAAACTTCAGGTTCATGGAACGGACACTAAGACAGCAGTTCAAGAGCTGGAGAAAATGCTGAATTTGAAACTACTTTTATAATCAGTCGGTTTGTAGTTATGATCTACATAATGCTCATTATCCATGCGCAACTTTATTTGGTATATCAAATAAAATGTACCGTGAAATTGTATTGATTATGACCAATAATTATTCCATACGTTGTTTTCTCATGCAATAAGATGTACAACGATTATTGATGTTTTTGCAACGTAATATAAGGAACAGATATGTAGTTGCTGATGAGGTGCAATCACTTCTTTTGATTGCAATAAGTACATCTCAAATAACTTGACTGTATTATTAATCATCTACAGATAAAGTTCGTAGAGTTTCTCTTTTGTGGTAATAATCTGATTTGTTCAAAACGCAAAAACGCCTCGATTTTATAAACAAAAAGTATAATTCTATAACTAATTCCATAATCGCATTCTATAACCAAAAAGTCACAGATGCGAAAGCTGAGAAGAAAAGCATACGAGTCTGTTCGGGGAAGACAATTATCAGGTGGCAACTTGAGGGCAGCAATGCTGAACGTTTCGGATTCACTGAGAATCGTGCAAAAAAGCTGATTTCGGGTGAACTCCTTATGTTGCACACTATTCAAATTACGATGACACATCACCTCGAACGCGTTGCTTGTCGATGCACTGATGCCACTTTCGTATCGCAATGGCAATCGTTTGTTGTGATACGACGAAATCGTATTTCAATGCAATTATTCTTATTCCGGTTACACTACACGTGTTTGCATCTTGAGCGCATTTTTGTGTGAGCGCTGTCGAAAATCCGTTTAAAAAATTTTGTATGCGTTACTAACGCATCTTCTGAAACGAATTATGCCCTGCTTTTATTCGATTACGCCAATCAATGAATTCCTATGAAAAATGAGGATTGTTTTGAATTCGTCTCTGTTGTGCTGAGCAAAACGATAGGTTTATTAGAATGAACTATTCACTAGAATGGTTAACGATCTCCTATTTCAAACTTACTGTTATTATCTGCTAAGGATGCATTCACATGATTAGTCGACTAACAAATGGTGATGAAATAGATGGCGCATAATCTCTTCCGGATATCGCTGATTGATGAACCGATGGAACTGCGCAATTCGTGATTCGCAGTTGTTTTAGGGAGGATCTGAAAGGATTGAATGTTGTAAATATCAGCAATTTTCGTGCGTAATGATCATTCTTAATGAAAACACGAACATTCCATTGCAAATGAAAACATTCATCAGTTTCGCACCCCCATTATCGTTACCGTTCATATGTTTGCGCATAATAAATGACATCGTTGCATCGACACGCAACTTTTTTGGTTCTATGATTAGATCAGAAAGTGTTAAAAGGTCTTTGCATAACGATGCAACTTCTCAAATAATCAACTTGATATTACTCTGGCAAGTAAGTTTGTTCGTCTTCAAGTGAATCATTAGAATTCTCAGAAATCAAAATAGCAGAAAAGAACTCGTCGAAAAACCTGTAAATAGGGTTTGGAAAATCCCAAACGTTTTCTCAATACCGGGATCGGGATTTAAAAAATGGTTGGGATTCAGAAAAAAGTTGCTTCAAGAAAAAAAGTTGCGTAGGAAACAAATGTTAAGAAATAAAGTTGAAAAAAGTAAAGAAAAAAGGTGGATTTCTGAAAAAGTTGTTTTAGAAAAGTTTCTTTCCAACTGTTTTAGAAAATTAAGAAGTTGTTTCAGAAAATTAAGGAATAAAAAGTTATTTCAGAAAAAAACAAGGAAAAAAAGTTGTTTTCCAATCTCGGGATGATCCTGGGATTGTGAGGCAACTTTTGAAATACAGAATACCTTGATGCGTTGATCAATACAATCTTTTTGGACCATTGTTTTCATAACCAATCATAAAAGAGTTTATTCAACGAAACTCACCAAACTGAAAAAAATTCAACAAAACAAAACAATCGAAATAAAACCGTAATGAAATGAATAATCATTGCGAGGAAAAAGTAGAGTAAAGACTGACACAACAACAAGAGATGAAAAGAAAGTTCAGTGAGACTCGAAACAAATTCTCAGAAGGGTTGCAACGTTGACTGTTGCATCACTCATCCGATTTCTCAGTTTTGTACAAAAAAAGCAGAGAAGCTTCGCTCACTTTCGACACTTATCGGTGCAATTGTTTCAAACATGTTCTACAATCATTGTCGTACAATACTCACCGCTCTTTCTTTGGTCACCTCAAACAAATGCATTTCAAGCATTATTTTGCTGTTCGCGTTATTTTTTTTCCAACTTACGGAATCTTGGAAATTCATCATCGACTCTATCTTCCTTGAGAAATCAATATCTTATTCATTCCCGTCCTTGGATGGTTCAGTTGCCATCGATGAGTTGTACCTTGGCTCATTTTCTCTGCTCGCACCGAACAACCATGCAGATAAATTCACTGCTAGTTCCATAATATTTTCTTTCACCATCTGATACCCCGCATAATCTGTTCCATTCCAAATGCGATCAGGATTTTCATATATCTCATCAAATGCATCAAAGTTGGTGTTCTATACTCGTTAATCCTCACCAGGATTCTCTTTTCATTACGATGTGGTTGGCAAAGAACAAATATGAGTGCATATTAATGGGCTGAGAATGACTTATGCTTCATTCATGATGAGTATACTACCAAATTCATGCAAAACGACTTGTGTTATGAATCCCGGAAATCCCGTGAATCAGGGAAATCTGAATCCCGAGATATGTACACACGGTCACAATAATAGGTGGAATGTGTATGCATAGTCATAATGACAGTTGCAATTTGATAGGGTCAATTTTTCTGAGGAGATCAGTTCTATTGTTTCGAGCATGTGGGAGAAATTGTGCGATACTTCCAAGGGTTTCCTTTGACACTCTCTTTGTGGATTGGACGAATGACGTCTGTTTGCCAAAGGATTGGTACGGAGTCCATTAGCCCATATCGACGTAAGATGTGACCAAGCAGCACGCCGGAGAAATTTAAAGAGGCAGGGACTCAATGTGTCTAGTAATGTATTGCCTTGCAGAATCGATAGGGATTGAGTCCGTTACAACTGTATGAGTGTCAAAAATGCGGACATTTTGATCATAGATGACAGGAACAGTTTTGAAACAGTTCACCTGTTGACTTATCACTATAGAATTGATTCATAACGAAGGAAATTGAATGCGCTAATCTGCACACTGGGATAGCTCATTTCTCCTAAATTGAACTTATGCCGTACGGAAATCTGAAGCGCGATCGAAAAAATGCTCCTCATGACTACTTACCAATTCTGCGAAATTTTAAAGAGATTCG